GGCCTCCTCCTCCTGCCCCGGCCCCGCGCCGCGGAGGCGGCCTCCCCTACCCACAAGGCCCCGCTGCGAGCGGCGGCGCATAGCTCAGCGCTCACTCACCGCCTAACTATAACCCTGAGCTCAGCGCCCCGCCGCACCGAGGGGAGGCCCGGGGCCGCCCCGGCAGCCCGCAGCCCGGCCGCAGCGCCCAAGGTGACCCTCCCGCTCCGCCGGCCGCCCTGAGGCAGCCGCTGCGGGCAAGGCCCGGCGGAGGGGGGCCGGAGAGAGAAAGAGGGCCGATGTGGTGAATTTTGGCCGAGACCTCATCCTGTCCGCCTTGTGTGAAGCACACCAAAAAGTAAATAAATATAAATGTAGGAAACGTTTGAGAAAGTGGGCGAGTGGCGTTTCGGGTAGAGCAGCAGGGCTCAGGGCATTATCAGAGGGAAGATGGAGAGCTTGGCGGCGAGGAGCTGTGCTAGGGAAGATGCAGATTTCCCTGTTTCCCCTGAGGAAGATGAACCCTCACAGGCTGTGCCGGACAGAACAGCGGGCCTTTCCCGGGGTGGGCATGCTGTGTGTCCGACCCAGGCAAGAGCTGGCCATGGCAGAGAGGGAGAGTCCCAGCGAGGCCTCGAGTTGTGGCCGCGGGGACGGAGGAGGCGAGTCGGACAGCGGGGTCACTCTATGGGACGACATGGTGAGGTTGAAGGCCAAGCAGTGTGGTTCCAGCAGCCCGGAGATGCGGCCAGAGTCACCAGGCAGAGTGGCAGAGCCCATGGAAGTGCCATCTGCAGAGGTGGAGGGATCTCAGGGAGGAAAGGTTAACAGCTTTATTGTGTTGACTTTCAGCTGATAGCTGGATGTCAGCGAGCTGATGTCAGAAAAAACGGGCCAATATTTTTAACTTGAAAGGAAAAGGAGAGGGAATCAAAGAGAAGTAAATACATGAGTCACTTGGATGGTTTTGAGTGAGATCACCCTGTGATGTTCTGAGTCAGGGCCTTGGCGCTGAACAGCTCCCGGCTGGAGGGAAGGTCGGGTCTGAATATCAACCCAAAACCCGTAACTGGGTTCTGTGCTACAGTCTGCCAAATCAAAATCCCTGAACCTGACAGAAGCACATGGATGAATGTTGTGAAAACTCAAATCAGGTGCTATGGCTCGTGCTTCTATCACTGAACCACGTTTGTGACTTTTCGTAAGGAATTAGTGAAAATCTGTTTGGGAGAGGCACCGTTTATTTATATCATGGGACTACTTCATCCCGAAAACAGATTAAGATCCATTTTACTGCAACAGCAACAACAAAATATCACGTAATTTTCTCTAACAGTTTACGACAAACTAGTGCAACAACTAGTAGGGTTCCTACTGGATTAGGACATGGGTTCTAGTCGGATTATGAAGTTACACGGCCTAGCACATCAACCATTAAAAGCTCTAAATTACCTAAAAGAAACATGATTTCTTCACATGCAGCCTACTCATAGGCTAATTTCTTGTTAACAGCACAGCAGAAATGTTTTTTTAAAGAAGGGTTTTAAAGTAGGATTGAATGAAAGACAGCATGTGGGGAATGTGTCTCCAGTGATCAATAAAGAGCCTGGGCTGGGTCTTGCTCATGTCCACAGGAACCTCGGGAGTGATTTCAATGAGCTTTGAGTCGAGCACCAGGTGTTGTGAAGATTTAAACTCTCTTCTCAGTTTCCCCTTGGCTATAGACAAGCTGCTTCTCTTTTTCTCGTTTTTCTTATCTATAAAATAAGCTTTGTAAAAACTAATCTTTACTTTATCTAGCTTATATGATTTAGTGACATTGTTCATGGTGCTATTTAAATGACCATAACAAAGAAATTCTTAAATAAGCATAACAGCCCTTTTTGCATACAAAAAAAAAAAAAAAAGTGCGATTGTGACTTCAAAAGCGAGTGTGTAGAAACAGTACCTTCTTGAAATTCTTGCCCAATAGATCTGTTCCTCCAGCCTCCAGGACATATCTGTTTACTGAGGAAACAAGTTTTACTTTGTTACAGGGACAAATTGACAACGGCAGAGTCAGCTGAATTCCTTTGTGCAACACAGATCCTCAACAAAATCATCAGCTGAGGTCTAACAGCAGAAGCTCTATTGCTGGTTATAAGTGATTAAGTGGCAAAAAGAGTACCCAGAAAGTCAGGTCCTGCCCTCACTATTTGGAAAAAACACTGTTTTAACATGCAATTTGAGCAAATTTGATATGGATGTTCTAAAGGAAAATTAGCACCATGTTCTGTGGTCTTTTTACGGTTCGACTTTTTCTGCCTATAGTGGCATTTATCTCTTAGGATAACACCCATCCTTGACAATGACCATCTAAGAAAGAACTCTTTTTACTTGATCTGCGTAGGGTGGTTTTGAAGTCTGTTGCAGTGAATTGCCAAATGTTATTTACCATGTTGTGTAAGGCAAAGTCCAAGCCTTCCAGCATGCCTGCTGCAGCTTTAAGCCTATGAGTCCACAGATGGATCCTTTACCTCTCTCTGCTCCTTGAGATGCCATTTAACTCTTTAGGTGTCTACAGTCCAAATATGTCTTAGGTGGCCTGAGGCACTTGGGAATTTGCCGTCGACCATTTTCAGAACTGGCTGCATTTTAACAACCAGATTTGTAAGAAATTGGGCTTATTGGTTAAAAGTCTCCGGCTTCTGTTTCTTTAGGGTACTTCCATAGGGACCAGGACTTCTCAGGAGAAAGAGGGATTTGGCTCTGGACCTCAGGCACACTTTAGCTACTAGCTATTGCAAAAGACAAAAAAGCAGACAAGCTACACATCTGTGCATTTGCTTTAGAAGAAAGGGCTGCTACGTTTTTAGCACTTGCTGCTGGCTAGTTAAGGCTTTTGCAAATCCTCTTCTTAGGCTCCCACTCTCTGGATGTATTTTATAGAGAGCATTAGAGCACTATGGATAGGGGAGTTGTTTCTGGTAATTGGTAGGGTCTCTAAAATTTAGGTGTAGTGTTTCATGTGGATCTAGTCCATTTTTGGGGTTTTGCATATGGGAAAACATGCATAGAAAAGTTAAGCAAGTTGCTGATGATCTCGTGGTCTGTCTCTGCCTAGAGACATGAATTGACACTTATCCTGAGTGACAAGCAAATTGTGACAACAGAGTAGGAAGGACAAAAAATCCAAATAGTCTGAGCAAATACACAGTCTTTGAAAGCTGCCAAAATTAAGCCATGTCAAACTGCTACAGACAAAGGTGCAAAACTATAGTCCCTCCCCGCTGGGGCATCCGGGACGCCACTCTGACAGTTTGAACGTCATAGTTGATCATTGTTGTTGTGATGGAAATAGGACAAGAGGTGGGTTTTTTAGGTAATGAGGTCTTGAGATTTTGGAGGTTATAGCTAAAGATTGTCATTCTACCTTCAGGAAATAATTTACATTTACTTCACTAGCATAAGGGTTTCTTTATTTTTAGATTCATACGTATGAAATAGGGACAGAAAGGAATGTAAGTGTATTATTTTGGTTTTTTTCTAGTTTTCCTTTCTCACACGTTAGTGTCTAATCAGTCTAAGGGTTAATAAATGATTTTTCTGGATTAAAATAAACCCCCTTTTTTTCTCTTTAGATAGGGGAAACCGACAGGAAGAAAGGTAGATGACTTCTGTATCTGGGAGATTACTAAGCACGTGTTTTTAAAGGACACAAAGTCAGCCACAATCATCATCATTGTTGATTCTAGTGTTGTCTTGGTGCAAATATTACAGTTATGTAAAATCCACAAAAAAAAAAAATTTAACATTCTTCCATTTAATTCATGGTACAGCATCTGTTGCATTGCAACTAGCGGCTTTAAATACAAGCAGCTTTTCAAACCCCATGTATTTCCAAACCAGCCCTCGGTAAGAATGACACTACCACATCAATCACTAGCACAGGCCAGCTATAAAATTACAAAACCACTCAGCCATCTGTATACTTAAATGCAAACCAAAGCAATCAAGCAAATGTTAAAGAAAATATCTTCATATGGTAAACTTTATCGGTAAAGGCCTGCTTCTACTGTTTCTACTTGGGAAGGAATATACTTTTGCCTCTGACAGGTATGCCAGGTGTCATTGCTTCCTGGTCTTTCAAACAGCATGTCCTGATATTGCTGATAAATGCAGAATCATAGAATCATAGCATGGCTCAGTTGGAAGGGACCTTAAAGATCATCGAGTTCCAACCCCCCTGCCATGGGCAGGGACACCTCGCACCAGACCAGGTTGCTCAAGGCAAGGTGCTGTCTGTGCCGCGTTGAATTCAGTGTCTTGAACACAAATACCAGAGGATCAAGAAAAGGAGGTGTGAAACAAAAATGGCTGCATAATGCCTGGGTGTGTCCTGATAATGCAGGACTTGCTCTCTGCCTTTCTTTTAATTGGTTTCATAATTCTCCCCAGCTAACTAACATTCCTTTTGTTAAGAAGGTAGTTTCGTCGTTTCTCGGGCGCATTGGGAAGACAGCAGTGAAACTGTGAATCTGGGTTAATTGAAATGCTTGCGTGATGTTGATGTGCCAGATTCTCTGCTGTAAGTCTCAGGAGGAAGCTTGCAGTGAGCGTAGCTTGGAGACTAAGGACAAAGTGACCTCAAGTTTTCCTTTGCTGCTTTCTACATTTAGGCTAAGTTTGGGGCTGTACGGCCCATAGGTGTAAGTCACAGCCCTTCGAGGGGCTGCTCTGACTTATGAAATCCTCTCATCGTGCTGTCAGGAGGCTGCTTGTACCTCAGAGTACCTTGGAGCAGAGAAGGGTGTCTGCCACACTTATTTCTGCTGCGGGAATTATCTCCAGCACTTCCTTCGTGTAACACATGGTAAAGGTTGCAAAATTGGAAGCGTGCAGGGTACAAAGCTCCTTGGTCCCTCGGAAGTGCTGGCTGTAGCTCCTCAAAGCTCTTTCTG